TTTGTAAAGTTGTATCTATAGCGGTTGACCTCTTTGTGGCGGTCAGCTGCCCAGCGCAAAGCGACTGAAGATGTTTGACAAACTATAAAGAAAGAAAGAAGAGATTTAACAAAAGCAACAATGAGTTTGTAATGACAATTTTATAAAAATCTATTTTCAAGATATTTGTTGTTTTTTCATTTATGTTTAAGACTTCAGTGTTTCCCATCAGTTTTATTCAAAGTGTTTTATTGGTGCGTACTGTTGATCCATTCATCTTGTCTTGTAGCTGCATTAGAAAATAAACATAAAACTCTCTGAGACATTTCAGCCCCGCTGGGTCTGCTCTTAATGATTATGCTGTTGATTCAAAATCAGTATCAGGTTGGAGAGAAAAAATAAAACAGGTGGTGTAAAGAGTAAGTGTTTTTATATTATCAGTTATATGAACATTAAGCTAAAAAGATTTAAAATAAAGTCATTATACTTACGATCGTCGTCGCTGAGATGTCCGTCGATGTTCACTGATCTGGTGTCAGGAGGAAATGCTGAATATTTATCAAACAAACCCTTTTTAGAGCTGTTGCACCTCCCTCACCACCGATTGGTCTAGAAAAAGAAACGCAGAGTTGTTGATCAAGGCTAAAGTCAGAATCCTGACCTTTGATTGGTTGTTACAGAGGACGAGATCACTGAACCTCTCTTTACCATCTTTAAAAAGTTAATCTTTAAATTAGGACAAAAACATACACGTTACATTAAAATATTGGAAGATTAAAAAAAACACAGCCCATCAACCGTTGAGAATGCCGCCATAATTTAACCAGCATGTTAACAGACTCACAAATAAACAACTAACCAAAGTAAATTTGTTTAAATTGTCAAAGGAGTCACTGCGTAATAACATGAATGAGTCCCACTGAACTCATTATCTTTTTTCTAGCATGTTCTAGTTCGGTCACTTTACGTCCTAATTTATTTGAATCTCTCAGTTGAATTCCCCCCTGGTGGTATATTTGTTCTGATTCAGAAACATAATTAGTGAATCACAATACAAGAACTATGAACTGCGGAAAAACCTCCCAAAAAAACAGTAAAGTAAAATTGAAAACAAATTGATTTCTTCATGCGGTAAATGAAAAATTAATTATTTTGGGGAAACTGTCATCAACACATTTCATCTTTTAGGATTTCTCTCAACTCCATGACCATTCCCTGTGCGTGGCCTCACACATTAACCTACTCTCACTGTAGACATGGTTTATTTCAAGAAAAGTGTTTTTATTAATGGTAACAATCATTTATTTCTGTTTCAAATACATTGAGACGTCTTCTATAGGAAGCAAGTAAATGCTATAGTTACGTGCGTCAGAGCAGTTTCTACTTGATGAATACGTACGAACACTGTAAAACATACTCTTCTTTCATGTGTTGAAACAACCTCTAATATATTTATATAGTTACCCACAGTATCTCCATCTTTAATTACCTCTTGATGAGTTTAAGAATTACACAACTTACTTTACCTCAGTGTTTAATAATTGGACACAATCAGCCGCTGCTTGTTAAAGCGCTCCATTAAAGCTCCATCACAATATCTCACACTGCGACTGACTGAAAACTTTAAGCACTTCTTTTTCAACACATTACCTCAGCAACCTGTGTTTGGATCTTTGATAACCAAAATAATTTGACTGGAATTCAGAAAAAAAATCTGACGGTTTCTCCATCAGATTCTGGTCTTTAGTGAGTTTTTGTTAATGAAACAAATGAAATCACACAAACAGTTGGTGGAAGAGATTTTCCCTGATGTTCTATTCTGAACTAATTAAATTAGTATTTGATGATAAAACTCAAATTAGTCAGATTAAACAAATGAGGACAGTCTGGTGCTTTAACAAACTCATACAATTTAACAGGCAACAGGTCTATTTGTTTATTTGGCTGTAATATTACACAAAATGCACAGAATCGATTTGCATGGTGCAAGTACCCATTACATTCTGATGCAGATCCAGTTGTCTTATATCCAGTTTCAAGAAGTTCAAGAACAAGACAGGCACATGTAGGAGGATAGCTCTGCCTTTACAAAGTGGAGGTATATGTTCTCAGAAACTAAATTTAACTAAATATAACCCAATACTTTAAGATATTGCTTTCAATGGACCCTGCTCCAATCATTTTTTAAAAATCAATATCTGTATTTTATGCATTTATCATAATAATGTTCAGCTTTTGCAGCAACAGATATTCCAGTTAGGTTTATGGGCCTAAAGTCTTGTTCCGTGTAAAATCAGTGTGTCAATCCTCCTGTGTCGTGTTTTGCTGAAATAAAGAAAATCAATTGTCAGTCATCCTGTGTAAAAATCTGATTACTCTCTGCAGGTTCCAGTTATTATGTCATTACTTATTGTGCACCTGTGAAACAGCCAAACATCTGCTGGTGCTTTTCCCCGAACCTGCTGTAAAGTTTCAGAAATATAACATCCGTGTATCACAGCCTGCTCGTACTGTCGTCTGAGTTTGTGTTGAACAGCTTGTTATCAACCTAACTGAGGTTTTATATAAATATATCATTACAGGAACCGTCACTGTTACAGTATCACTGGTATCATTACCTCCACCACCCCTGTGTGTTTGTTGGTTTGTAAGAAAGATTGAACAAAAGAAAAGGCTCCATTCAATTTTGATGTGGATCTAGGATTTGTTTTTTGCCAGATCAAACCTTTAAATTTCAGAAATGTTTTCAACAGTTTCCCAGGGAATAATTCATGGATCCTGAAATAATAAAATCAGGCACATTTAGGAGACTGATGTCTATGATTGTGTGAATTAAAGATGCCTGTTGGGCCTTGGCAGACGCATGTACTCTACTGAGTGACATTCTGGTTAAAGTAGTTTTATCTGTCACATCTTAAAACCGATCGCATGATTTGACAGTTTCTGAAAAGATAAAAGCAGGTGAATAAAGCTTGATTGGCAGCCACGGTCGAAATGAGGTTAATTCTTTTGTTTCTTTTCAGCAAGATTTTAGAAACAGCATGAATGATACTGAAAATGACATTTAAAAGAACTGCAGGCCTGAGCTTGTCAGAAGTAGAGAGAACAAAATATTTAAAATGCAGACGAAGTGACAATGTAGAAAGCATCATAACAAAACAATACCTCTTTATTCAGAGCTGATCTGCCTGAGGACAGTTTGCTGACTACCTGCAGCTACGGGGATCTTTAAGGGACTTGAGCTGTATGAACAAGTGTCGAGGTGGTTTAGAGACGTGAACCACAACAAGGACAAAACAAACACGTTGCACACGTCTCATGTGTCTCTCTGAGGTTTTCTCCGCCTGCCTCTGTACTGCTGTCATGAAGGCCTCACACCTGCTTCTGTTCCTTCTGGGCCCCAAATGAAACCCCCCTCTGTTCGCTCCTCACAACAAAACCAAAGTTACAGCTGCCACACAGAAACATCTACTTCTAGTGGGCCTTGCTTCAATGGATATTCTCATGAAAACAACATCTGGATAGAAACCGTCACATAGAATAGATTGTAAATGTGACTGTTTCTTCCTCTCTGTGTTTTCTTGCAGAGATTTTGATGGAAAACACCTGAAAGTGAGGATTCCCTCATTAGTCACATACATAACGAGGATGTGTGTGATACCATGACTAAAAATGACAAAAAGTGTGGGCTTCTTGCAAGAATGAAGGATGATTCACTTATTTTCATATGTACCTTTTGTGCCCCCGTCCTTTGTCTGCTCCTACAGAGGGTTTCCCTGACGCTCTTCAACAATCTCATATGAACAATGTAGCTGCTTTCACGCCTTGGGTTGCATGTGAGAATGTAAATGTTCGAGTAACAGGCTCTGGGTATACTCCTGCCGGCCCTCAGGATGAAAAAGCAGAGCCAAAGACGTGGAAATCACCAAGGAAGATGTCAAGAGAGTTTTTGATGATAAGAGATGATATCATGCGTGAAAGGCAAATCTCTGGAGAAAGTCTTGACCCAATCGTACGGACATTCTCCGTAGTTAATGTCCGGAAAGGGCTTGTACGTAACTTCGGCCGTCAGGTGTCTCTCAATCATATCGATGGAAAAAGACGTGGGATCATGGGAGTTATTGTCTTCACTATTACTGATAAAAATCTATCTGACACGATTCAGGAGCAAATCATATTCACAGATGAGGTGGTGTTTTTACTGAGGTTACGCAGCTAATGGAAATAAATAGTCCTGATGTTTTACGGGTGACATACAAACAGTGGGAGGAAAAAACAGCCGACTGGCTAACAATGTGTTTTTCATGCGTCGTTGGTTAAAGCAGAGAAAGGTAGAGCTACAGGTAAAGTGGATACCACACAATTAACACGCAACCAAAGCGAAACATCAGGTTACCTTGAATAAAATTGTGGATCTTTAGGTATTTTAGTGTAGAATTGTTACATATTATAATATATAAGTGTGAAACTGAAGCAAGACAGGAAGACGAAACACCAGACGATGTGTGAGGCCCTGAGAAGACGTGAAGACACAGTGTTCACACTGGAATGACAGTTTTGATGGTTCAGATATAAACAAAATGTCAGTGGAAATTATGTTGAAATCAAAAACGAGTGACATTCTGATCAATGACTGAAAACGTGTCTGTCATGCGGGGGACTTCATTCACGTTGCTTTTGAATGCTCAGGGTTGTGAAACAGTTGATGAAAACAGAAACGTTTCTATGTCTCTCCCACTCACCACTTCAACTCCATTGCCTGCACACACCAGAGGTTTATAGGCTATTTACTTATTTACCGTCACTGTATTGTTTGCAGCCTGCAGCGCGGATACGGAAAAATATGATTATTTTCCTTTTGGACGTAGATTTAAAGTCATTCAAAAGATGAATAGTTGTGATATCGAGTCATGTTGTGTTTTACTGGTGAGAGTCTGATGTGTGTGAAGTTATTTTTAGATTTTTATAGGAAAACAGCATCATGGCTCAGCACGAGTCGAGCAGCCAAACTGTGACTGTGAAGCTGTGATTAGGTTTAAACTGAGTTGAGTGATGACGATGGTTTACCGTGGAAAAACCACTGCACTGCACCTACGCACAGAGGAATGCAATGTTTGATGATCTCCATATTTACATTCCTGTAAAACATCTTATTGTCAAACAAAGCTGTCAGAAATAGACCAGTCACCAAAATAAAAAGATATAACACTTGACAGCTGTAGACTCTCTTTCCTGTAATCCTGAATAATCTAGGAAACTTTAGTTGTCAACTAACCTAACCCTTTCTTTTCTCTTGTACATTCACTTCCTCAGTATGTGGTCGGTTTAATATGTTCGTTAAAATATTTTGCATCACTGATGGAAGAAGTGGAAGTACAAGCAGGAGGGACGAACAAACACTGGTTCAGAAATTTCAGTTTCATTTTGAATGACTGTGTTTGTGTCAAACAACGAAAAACACTACTGAGTAATAGCTGTGGAAAGGGAATCCTTATTTCTCATGTGAAAACATCTCCAGAGCAACAGAGACATTTTCAGAAGAGAGTAAAACACACAAGGAGCCTGTAAGTGTGAGGAACAGTGACGTGCTGCTCGCTACTAAGACGAGAAATCATACATTTAACGACTTTTTCTTTACTGGGCAGTAAACAGCGTTACTTCATTTTGGGTCTATATTCCAACACATTGAGTTTACAGTTGTGATTTCCAGTTTTATGGTGTTATTGGGATGAAGAGTGCAGGAATCATTGCTCTTATTTGTACAAAGTGTTTTAAATGTGAGGACGATGCAGGATAATTATCGTAAACATATACAAAAGACAAACAAGGAATCTTTGATGGCCAAACTGTTATTTTCTTACTTCAGTTATTAGAAAAACTCAAAAAGGTGTTTAGTTTGTCCAGTCTGGACTAATGTAAAAAACATGTTGGCCTCCGTAGAGAGGACCCCCCTCCATGTAAATATAAAGTATTTAAATATAAAGGACCTTTTCTGGGGTAAAGAAAACTACAATTCATACAATTTAGACGAAACGAACTAGTGAAAACATCATAAGGATTATTCTACATTAAATTTCTGCTAATAGTTCCCTTTGACTTAAATCTTGGACCTTTAAGAGCAGATTCAAGAAGAAAGCCTCCAAGACAAGCAAAAGATTCATCGTTGGAGTATAATTCTGTCCGAGTATCAACAAATAACAAGTTCCTGCTGATATCTGGGAGTTGCAGATTTCAGCCGTACAATATAAATATATATAAATATATTAGGGGAATATTTGCACAGCTGTGGCTCAAGGGGTTGGGCGGTCATCCACTAACCAAAGGGTCGGTGGTTTGATCTAAGGCTCCATGCTGAAGTGTCCTTGGGCAAGAGACCGAAGCCCAAATATAAATGTGTGTGTGAATAAGTGAATGTGATGTTTTGAGTGGTTGCTAAAACTAGAGAACTCTGAATGTAAAATGGAATTTGTCAAATACATTCAAGATACTTTATATCTTCTCGATATCTAGAGACTACTTATATATGTTATACTTTTACTATGATAAGTTAAAAATGTTAATAAAGCTGTAAAATAGTCCCTTTGGAAAACTTAAGCTATTCCCAAAAGTAAAAGAAGTTTAATCGCCTGACAAAAAAACTGAAATCACACGCAAGTCAGAAAGTAAACAAGAGACAGAGCCGACCTGATCTAAATCAGATTTATAGCATTAGTTTTTTTTCAGTTCTGTTTCTTCAGGAGCAGATGGTTGAAACCAGATGTTAAAATTAATTGAAACGGCTGAATTAGAATCCCACTGCTACGAGTTCGATGTGCCAGCGTCACGTTGAACGTTTGTGTTATTTTATGTTCAACATATTGATATAATAGATAACGAGCCATAACATTGTAATTGGTCACTTCTGGCATAATTTAGACCTTATTCATTTTACAGATTTACGGTAACAGTGCATAAGAAATGCATGAACAGAACAAGGCGTCATATTCACGCTAATAACATAAAGCCATCAATGAATGTGAAAATATCTGAAACCATGAATACTCTCTTCAGAACAATATTTGTACTGTTAATAAATATTTATGTATATATATATATATATATATATATATATATATATTGCATCCACAAATATTAGTATTATTTCTTTTAAAAACATATTGGAAATATTACAACATATTTCAATATGTTGTAATATTTCCAAATAGAAAGACTTTGAATGGCAGTTACCATTATTTTAAAATACTTCTATCAAAGACTTAATTATTGTTAGTACAATTATTATTTAATTATTGGTCTTTGCTAAAGGCTTTAACAAGCATGTGGCAGCAGAGAGGCCACAAAGCTGTAGCCCTTAGCAACAGCTGATATCAGCAGTTGACAGGAGCAACAGACAAAGAACATAAACGTTAACATCTTCCCGGGTTCAATACAATACATACATGTATATTTTCAGAGAAACAACAGTTTGTATGTTTGTCTGCTACTTGCGTTAGAGCAATAACTTTGCATCCTAACAGCGTCAATGATCTCAAAACCTGCAGCATGATGCCATTATTATTGCTCTTTAGACTTTCGGTTCAGACTTTCTGGTTCATGGAGAATCAGACCCTCAGACAACGTTGTGAAATAATCAAGGGTAATGAAATAACAAGGAAATCACACAATGTTACTGAACTTGATTCAACTCAATTGCAATTTGCAGCTGAATATCACAAGTCACTCAGCAACACTAGAAATATTCCTGCTCATCATTTTTGATTCATTGCAATCATTTGGAAAAACACAACCAACAAAGATGAGACCAGGACAAGACACAGCTTAATTTTTAAACTGCGGCCTTGAACAAGACCAGGTTTGAATGCTCCAGCCTGGATCTCTGTCAGCGGCGATGAGATTTGACGTTTTAGTTGCTGTACGTAGACAAACAGATTTCTCTCCTGACTTATGTCTGTTCTGTGTAAAAACTCCCTCAAAGCAACTAAATCCAGAAGAATACTGAGTAAATATACACAAAGTGTGTTCAGGAGTACTCACATGTGATGTGTTCAGTGCAGCGATGAGTTGAGCTCTGACATTTGGTCGGCTTCATGCACTGCAGGTGTCTCACACACACACACACACACACACACACACACACACACACACACACACACACACACACACACTCACACAGGAAGTCAGGCAGCACTATGATCCATCATGTCGGTTAAGCACTAGATAGATGACATACTGTAGTTTAGGATTAGGATTTGTTAAGTAGCCATAATGTACTTTATGGTCAACTTACACACATCAACCCATATTCATTTTTAATAACATATGAATATATACATGTAGAAATATCAATGTATGTATATATGCCACTGGAGGTGTTGTGTTACTGTGTGAAACAGGTGTTTACTGTGTATTTCACATTATGTAGCACAGCACTGGTATCAACACCTGCGTCCCTGCACCAGTTGTGGGGCATATACTCAGATCTTTGGGGCTGATGCAGGTACAGTTTAAAGCATACATCATAGTAACAAAGAAAATGTAGTTTGATATTATGTTAGGTCATAAAAATTATCCAAGGGATTCATAGGAAACGACTGCACAGTCAGCTTCACTGTTTCACCCCTGAAAGAAACTTCCTTCCTCTTTTTCATGAGGATGGAATTAATTTACAAACTCTGCTGTTGGGTTTCTTTATAGTTTATTGACTGAGGGGAAAAAGCACATTTCAGCACAATACTCAAGCCATTTCAATACTCAAGCCATTTACAACCTACAAAAAAACCCCAGAAACTATACGACACATACAGTACATCAAATACACCAAAATACAAGAAAGAAGGGATATTTAAATCACTTTGAAGTTATGCAGTACAATCGAAGGTGACGATGCCGGATGATGCAGAGATACTTGTTCGAATGCTGCACAAGAAATAACTACAGATTATATTTGATGAAAAATATGCTTTACATTTTCATGCAAAAGCCCATTTACATTCATGCCACGTTCTCACAGGAGTTCTCTTTCACTTGCTCGGTTTTTTTCTTTTTCTCCACCTAATCCTCTGTTCCCGTCCCTCTCCTTGTGTCCCTCCTCTCTTCTATCCATCTCTCCCATCACTCCTTTAGCAGGGGCTTCAGAGCGAGGGTTGACGGCCTCCCTTTCTGACGTCCTCGCTGTGCTTTCGCTGCAGCTGGCCGGCTGTGATAAAGAGCAGGGGAGAGGAGACGTTTTCACGCTAATTATGAGACAATAATGAAGCTCTCTGTAAACGGTGCAGTGAAAATGAAGGTCAAAGCATCATTAATATGAGTGAATGGAGTCTCTTAGAAAGCATCTGTAAAGTGAACTGAGATTACTGGAGAGGAGTTTTTTTATTTTCATATAGAAGCAAGTGAGGAAAATGTACCTGTTACACTGACAGTAGTTCTTGGGCCCCTGAGATTGTCGGCCATTCTTCTTTTTCTGTAATTTTCTCTACAGTGGAAAAAAAGAATGTCATCAGCTTTGTCTTTGTTTGTTCCACTCAGCCACTCCTGCTCCCTTATCCCACCCGCTGATTTCAATCAACAAAGCAGCACATGAAGATTCCCGGAGGCGACTTTCTTCATTTACCTTCCGTCTTCTGATCCTCCTGCACAAAATAATGACGAGCACCATCAGGAGAACCACGACCACGCAGCCAGCTCCAGCTACAGCCCACATCCACCAGTCGAGCTGGCCACCACCACCGGTAGTGCCAGTGCCACCTGGTTGAGCAAAGATAACACAGCAAAAGAGGAAAGTGAACCAATGATGCTTCCAGTGAAAAGTCACTTTCAGCTATTTTTGGTCAGAGGCCACAAAAAATACAAGCAGTACGCACAGTTGGGGCACGATGTCTCAGTGTTGACCTTTGAGTCTTGGTCTGGGGGGGGTGTTACAGCAGGTTCTGAAAGGAAAAAACAACATCTTTCATTTCTCACCGACCACATGGGGAGTTTTTGTTGTGTTCGCAGGAGCATAGAAGCCAGTGGCACACCTTCAACTTTGATCTTTAGGTCCTCTGTGTACATCACCCCACCAATGGACATCCCACACTGCCAGGTTCCTGCGTCTGAGAGGGTTACGGTTTTCAGAACGTTGGGTGACCCCGTGTGTTTACGTCCGTCTGGCCCCTTCCACTCAACAGGGTGGTCTAATTCCAGACCTTTAACCTCACACTGGAGTGTACCATTGCTGCCCACCTGCAGCTCTTCAGAGGGGCTGGCTGAGACTGACAGAGGACAACAAGTGAGAACACAGTGAGAGTCGAGAGGAGGAAAGGGCAGTTATGATGAAACGAATGAAAAACCTTATAAATATACACATTAACATAACAGGAGGAGTAAAATTGTAAAATAGTTGTATCACAGGAAGTTTTCTAAAAAAGATAAATCACCTTGAATATTTCTCAGCTACACATTTGTAACAGGAAGTTTACAATAAAAACAGTGCAAAGTGAGTTTTATGGATGAACGTGGACAGGAAGGGTTTCTAAATTGTATAATGGGAAATGTAGGATCCAGTGCTTTTGAAGCACAAGAATCTGGATAGTTTGGCTTCTTTTTTGTTTGTTTGTGTGTTTGTTAGTTTATTTTTAATCTGTCTCTTGTGACACTCCTGACTTAATAAGTCTAAATGACTAAATAGTAAAATACTGGTATACATAAAAGAAGTGTGTAGGTAAAACTGTAAATTTGTATTTAATGTCTTTTATTTATTTATTTTTGCTGTTGAGGCCTTAAAGTTACTTTTTTTGTCATTCACTTCAAATTATTTTCAAATATTGGTTGTTTTTTATTTCCCAATCCACAATTTATATAACTTAACATAGTTAGAATATTCACTTTAAGCAATATAGCATATGCTATCAATAACACAATATCTATTGTGTTTTTATTTACTCTAATAAATTGCTAGAATTGTCCTGAAGAGGTAAATCATGTGCAATGCTCAAATGTTCTTTGGATCTGCTGCAGACCTGAAACCACTAGAAGTGTGTGCTTGTGAGAGACCCCGTCTGCCTTGCAGGTAAACATCCCACTGTCTTCGTTCCTCACAGCAGAAATCACCAGACTATTGTCATGCCTCACACTTGACCTGTCCTTCATGACACCTTGGCATGAAACAGAGAAAACATGTCAGTGGTGATTTTGAAATGATTACATGTCCTGTTATGTGTTTTTATTACTACCTTTGCGAGGTACGAAATTCCCTTCAATTTCATAAATCAGTGCATCTTTGTGATACCACCCCAGGCTATTCTTGTAGGTGCGGACCCCACAATCCAAAGTGACGCTCTGCCTGGGTTTTGTTAGGATCACAGTGGCTGCAGCAGAGAGTGCACCCAGCACTGAGGAGAGAACATCACACTGCATTTAGTTCCATATATTCACAGGAGGAGACCTCAAACTGAGTATTAAGGGGTCAGATGTGAACATGAAAGCTGAATGTGACGTTGATCAGGTTGAATTTGGGAATTTTTTTGGAATCTAATTATGAGTAAAACGCAACAGCTGTTTCCCCAGGTAGGTGCTGTGTGTTGCATGATTTGTGGGATAAATAAAGGAATCTTAATCTTAATCTTAAGGTTCAAGAGGTATAATTGATTATAAGGGACATATCTGGATCTATAATATTTTTAATTGAAAGTATTATTTAAAGGAGAAGTAAAACTCACCAAATCCAAACAACACAATGACGTTCATTCTGAATGTTGGATCTAAAAATAACAAAAATAAGACAAATGAACTTTTCTGTGGAGACACACAGAGATACCAAAAGCAGCATCCGCTAACATGAGCATTCAGAAACATGTGATTACAAACCACGAGCTGCCTCTCTACTTCCTTCCTCTCTGTGTATTAGAAAATAAGAAGAATTTGCTTCAATTGTACTATGTTCAAATCAGAAATCATGTTTGGTCTCTTTTGTGTTTAATTAGCACGATCGATTAATCATATTTAATATGATCGTGCGTCAGAAACTTGAAAATTGAAATCTGCTTTTCAAACAGGGAAAGACAAAGATTTAAGATGATCATGAAAGTCAAAATGAGTTATTAAACACTTTCTGCATACCTTGATATGTTCATAATTTTTTTTGAAAGATTGTAAATTTATCTCAGCACAGTTTTATATTTTAATTTAATTCAAAAATGTCTCATTTTAAAACCACAAAATGTGTCCTTTTATTTTTGTTAGTTACACTCGTCACAACAATTATGATCTAGCCTGATAATTTATTGATTGAAAGTCAAATAGCTGTTTTACAATTATAATAATCCAGAATGAATTCTCTTTTTTAATATGTTATCAACGACTGAACAGTAAATATGAATAGAGATTGTCTGAAGGTCTGGAGACACAGTCACACACATTGTTCTTCTTTAAATTTATTGTAGCATTTATTTTATCTTCTACTGATCAGGTGTTTTAATTAAAAAACACTAGAATCATTTTACGCTGAATTGCTTCATTTTTCCTCAAGGTTTCACTTTTGCACGGAGCAAAGTTCAGGCTGTTCAAACTGAATCCTTTAATTTAATCTAACAACAAAAAAGCTTGATTTTGTAATTCAGTATCGGATCTTACCTGAATTTTGCAGCAGTACAGTGTTTTTCTGGCCGTTATTAGAAGTCGAAATTGTCCCTCATCCTTCACTTCACTGAACTCAAGAGGACGAGCATACAGCAACTATAGAAGGCGGAAGATGTTTACAGAGGAACCTACACTTTGGAAAGATGTGGGCCAATGCAAACCCCAGCTCTCTGGGTTTGCTCTTCACGTCTGCAAAATCTAGGTCTGGGATTCTGTGAACTGCAGTTTATTTTATGTGAAGCAGACACAGGTTTTGGGAAGTAGCTTAAACTCACTTATGTGTAAATAACGAAACAAGAGAAAAATAGATGTTAGAAAAATCCCCAAAATATATACAATAATTCATTTTTAGTTTCGGTATTGAAATAAAAAGTGAGAAGTCCAAGACACATTCATAAAAATAAAAAAGGCCAAATGACAGAAAGACAGTTCTTTATTTGTCACAGCAGAAATAACAAAGGATGTTTGCAAAAGAAAAAACCCACAAAAAACACTCAGGGATCACCCTCACCAAACGTTTAACAAAAAAAAAACAAGTTGATTTGGTTTTGTGACTTTTTTTATTTAGTTTTCGTAACACACATTTGAGCCGTTTCTTCTTTAATGCTTGATTTTCTGACATTTCCTCTTGTTTTTGTATTTGAACTGTTCTTACACCCTCACTGAATGAGGAGGAGGAGGAGGAGGTGGTGGTGGTGCACGGCCGCGATGGTGAGACCAAGCTGCAACCATCCAATAAAAGAAGAGGGGGAGGGGACGTGACTACTGAGGGCAGTAGAAATCAACAGGAAATGGATTCATGTGAAAGCTATGAAACTTACTAGTAAAGATCGGAAGGACTTGTTCCGTGAACCAGGTTTTCTGAATTATCTGGATGCATTTGCTGAGAAAACGTTGTTTAACAGATGTGTTTCACTCAGAAAAGTTTTCCAGATAAATAAAGAGACTCTGCTCTTTGAACAGGCCCCTGGTTTATCCCTAAGCCCCACACACCTCATCTGTACATCTGCACCAATTGATTTGACTGTGTATATACGCAATCTGAGAGATTTATTTACATTTTTTATCATTTTGAAGCGTGCCAAAGCATTTGAGCTTGGTGGGGATGCGACTTTTCATGTTGTGTTGTTGTTGCGTTTGTTTTAGCGTCCACATTTGTCCTCCATCACTCCAAGCTAATGGCTCCTTTGTCTCAGTCAGCCACCCTCCGATAGAAGTAGAGGTATCCCAGGTCTTTGGGAGGTTTCTCTGAAGCACACACCTTCTGATCATTGAAGATGACCCACCTAACAAACACAGAGGATATTGAAAGTGTTCACAAAGAGTCATCTGTTAACACCTGCTGTTACCAAATAACTAAAACCGTAATAATAGAACATATTAAAGAATTGAAAGTGTTCAGAGACAGATCTACTGGTACAGACGGGAAAACCTCTATTATCCAAACATGAAACAGATTTGCAAAGAATAAATAAAACCATTAACACTGTGTTGACATTACAACTATGAAAAACGTTATTGTTGAATCCAGACCTGGAGTATGCTGCCCCCTGGTGAGTCACTGTGAAATCTGCTACTCCATAACGTTTCAATATGACTCTTATAACATTTCCTCTGCCATAATAGATAATGAACAACTGGTTTGAGAACAAAATGCATACACATCCTTTGACTTTTAAAAACGTAATTTTGATGCCTTGAAACAGTAAAAATTCTCTTTAAGTTAGAAACAAGTGGGATGAACCCCCAACTCACTGCTGATCCTTCTTGATGTGACAGACGTAGTGGCCGCACATTGTGCTCGTCCCCATGTGACTGATAAATGCAAACAGCTCGTACTCTGGAAAAACAAAACACAAGTTCAAACGTTATTATGAAATACATTTGATGTATACATATGATCAAAAGTATCACATTAAAAGACTTAAGATGGAAAAACTGCTCCCGCTCGCTTGGACTCACTTCCTGGTCCGTCTCTGACTCGAGGCCCAGGGGGAGGTTCCCTGCCCTCGCTCTCTGCAGCCGAGCGGCCTCCTTCAGACACATCCATTGACTCCAGGTCATCCAGGTGCGAGAAGATCCAGTCCACTGCACGTTCCAGAACATTACTCTGACGAACAAACACCAGTTAAGAAAGATGGGGAAAAACAGCAAAACAATAATCAGTATGTGTACTGTTTAAGTGCAATATTTACAAAATACATTGAATGGATGGAGCTAAATTTGACACAAAGTGGAAGTTGCATCCACATAAAAAGTATTTCAACCACAACAGTCCTGAGGATATATTAAGTTAAAGACATGCAGTATTCGTGAGACAGTGAAGCCTAATGCAGCTTTAAGTGAAATCCTGCGACTGATTTTGTTGAGGTGTAAAAAAAATAAAAAAATAAAAAAATAAAAAAACTCTGGGTACTTTCTCCAAATAGACAAAAACTTGGCTTCATTGCTGACTGAATTCAAAGAAGGCAGCTGTGCCTGTATTGGCCCAGGTCTACTTTGAGTCTAGCGGCCTGTGAAATTAGTAAAAACCTCGTCTCGAGCTGGAAGGAGTTCGATTCTCACCGTGGCTCGGAGTGCTTTGGTTGCCTGGTCTCGGCTGAAGCCCATGGAGACGATGGTTGCCAGGTGCTCCTCGGAGAGGCTCTCTGTGGGAGTGGTGCCGGGGCCGGAGCTGCAGCCTGGCAATACCAGGGGGGCCGAGAAGTCTGTAGCCAATCAGAAAGAGAGGATGAAGACTGAGAGGAGCCGTCAGACTGATGATTTGCTTTCTGGTGAATTCCCATTGCTCTTCACATGTAAAGCGTCCTTGGGTCCCTTGAAAGGCGCTATATAAAAATGTAAGTTATGATAATTATTACACACCTGGGTCATCCATATGGCCCATGATCCAATTCATGGCAGCATCAATTCCAGTGTTCCCAGTGTAGTACACTGCTTTCCTGCAGGCCTCCAGCGGAAATCCCATTTCACATAACTGGGACACAGTGGAGTCATCAAGAACTGGAGCTGAGTGATGGGAGGAAACAGTAGAATTACTTGGATGCAATTTTGGAAAATGTATATTGTTTTGTTTATTGATTTTCAGAAATACAATAATTGTTGCTCTTGTTACTTGTGTCCTGAGCACTTCCTCAATATGAACAGGTTAAAAATAATAAAAAGGCAAAATGTTATAAAGAAAATATTGGAAACCAAATCATATACAAGTACTAAAACCAAACCATTAAAATATGACTTCTTTATTATGAAATGCAACAAAAAATAACCTCACATGACACAAAAGAAAAAAAATATAATGGCAACAGACAGACTCAAGAAAACAGAAAAGGCAGAAAAGAAGAAAAGCAGGAAACAAGGGTGGACAAATAAGAGTGTCACAGAGGAAGGAGGAAAAGAGAAGAAATGACAGACAGACTGACACAGCAGTGGGGAGTAGAGTGAGTCGTCGTCCTCGTTGCCATGGAAACCCAGGATACCTTTAACCTCCATATCAGGGGTCACAAGTGGGGGCGGGGCCACCTCTGGTAGAAGCTCCTCCCCAGGCTGCTGGCCAATGGCACGTAGTGCACTCAGGTCCAGAGAATCAGGAACATCTATACTCACGTCTGAATGGAGAGGACAAAAAAATAAGAATCACATCTCTGCAATATATAAAGAGTTCCTCTGATTTATTTCAAACTGCACTTGCTGTGCTAATGATGATAATGTGGGTGACATCACAGTGACATTGCTTTGCAACTAGAACCCATGAAGCCCATCAGGTCATTTTTTGTAGAAGTTGTTGATTGGAACCATGAAGGAGCTGCTCCAACATAAACTGTGGACTATCTGCAGCATAAAACATGATAGTGCCTTTACAACACAAACTTATGTGTGTGATTCATGTGTTTAAATGTTTCCAGGGCCTCCAGACTCTACACACATACATGTACAGTACAAAACTATACATCTCTGCAACAAAAACTTTTAATAAAATATTTGATCACCCAGTTTCTTGGGTACCCAGTCAAGGCCAAAAGTAAACTTCTTAATCTGGATAACCAGGTGGTCGGGGAAAGAGGCAAAGCGGGTTGTTCTGATAAAAGAGACAAAAGCTGATGTTAAAAAATTCATCAAGATTTTTTCCAAATAATCTCTGTCATGTTGTGAATAGGCATCAGTTTTCATACTTGGTAGCAGTAGTTTTGGCTTGCACGGCTGAGCTCCAGAAGTCTGTGAGGATCTCTGGTTCGCTGAGGGCTGCCATGCAAGATGTGAAGGGGATTTGTGCACGCACTGTTGGGGCGGATGAGTCCCCCTCCTCACGCCGGCGCTCTGCCTCCTGAAGCTCTTCTGTAACAACAATAAACAAAGTTTGAAAAACAATTGAAAGAAACATGAGCCATTTAAAAAACACAAAATTGTTCAAGAAGTATTATCATTACAAAAGATACAAAAGCAGGATGTATTGTTTTCACTCATACTATCACTCATACTTAGGCATTATCTGAATACCTTATTGTTTAATTACTAAAATTATACATAACACTTCCAATTCGAGATAGACTGAAACTGACCAGGCTGACATATCAGCTCATATTAGCTTACTGCAAACATGAAAGAGATAAATACTAAATATAAAGAGTGGTTGAGATATTCATAGATGGTCCATACTTTAGTACTGACAAGTTTATCATTCCAACATGTTCAACTTAATCATTTTTAAGTTATCCTTACTTAAGAGTTCACATTATTTCTTTAAGTTTAACAAAATACACTAATATAACTTCTCAAATATCAATATCAGCATCAAAAATTGCTGCAAATAATATCAGCTCTGATTTATATAGCTGATTAACTGATGCAACAAAGTGGATCTGGTCAATGATTTGATTTTGAAGCTGTTAAAATATGATCAGTGGCAGAATCACTTTGCTCTGGAATGAGAGGACAGCTGTCCATAATGTGTCCTAAATTGACAATTTCTTATAAGGATAATAGATTTCTTTATAACGCTGAGAATTAAACTAAAATTAATTATTCACAAATCATCTTTAATGGCGTTGGGGCACCTTCCTGCAACCTGGCACATGTTAGTGATGTAAACCAAAGCTAGTCTCTGCGTCTGCACCCCACAACACAGTGGATATAACTCATCATGTGTAGATCTGGAGAGT